AATATAGATTTAGTATTCGCAATAAGAGATGAGCTGGTGCTTCCTCTCCTGATGAAAAGTGATTTGGCTATTTAAAGGAACAGTTCACCCAAAAATGTCATTATTTATTTAGTACAATGCAATGACAGTTTATAATTTTTCAAGCTCTAAAGAGGACCAAAAAAAAAGTACACCAATAAAATAGTTCATATAACTTGTATAGATAGATAGATAGATAGATAGATAGATAGATAATGAAATGAGAGAAAGAAAGTCAGAGGGTTTGTGGGTGTGGGCGAGAGAGAGAATACTAGACTGTTTTTGAAGGAAGTATCCAAACTCTTGAAGGAGCCAGAGGGCTAAAGACGCTCTCTCTCGCTCATTACTCACCAATAATCTACTCTGGCTCCCTGATGAAGGTCACAGCGAGTCCTCTCTTCTGTATCATATCCTCCGTGTCGGAGTCTGAAGCTCCGCATGAATACTAAACACAGTGTCACTTATAGGGGGGGTACGGAGGGGGGGCTAGGGTCATGAGGTCACCATTTGCTCTTTAATTATGCCAACAAAAAAGGCTGACGGTGGAAGGTAAATATAGTCTAATGAAGCTTGGCAGACAGGAAGTAACTATCAGCCTGATGGAATCCGCTCTTTGTGGCTCATCACTGTTGGATGAGTTTAAGAGGACTAATGAGGATGTTTAGGGGAGAAAATAATCAGGGAAGGTTTGGAATGAACTGATAGCGAAGCGAGTAAGGATACTTTTTCTTTCATACTAGTTTTCTCCCTTAACTTTCCTATTTGTCAAAAAAGGAAAATAATTTTTGGATCTGATATATGAGTATTTACAGTAGCATCCAAAAGTATGAGAACACTAGTGAAATGCTGCTCTTTTGCATTTTTCTAATTCTAACTTAATACTGTTTCTTTTTTCAAATCAGTGTAACAATTTGAGTGAAACAATGAATTAGATTAATATGGATTTCCATTGTTTTTGTACAAAGTTGTGCAGTAAAAACATGAGAGTAAAATACAGTAAATAAATAAAAACACTTAAAAATAATGGATTAGATAGATAGATAGATAGATAACATTGGATATATATAAATTTTTTTCAGGTTTAAATTAGATTATGAATCCCCGATTTTCAGAGCGAACTACCTCTAAGTTGAAATAGTAGAGGACAGAAGTCAGTAAAATGCAGTGAAATTATAAAGGTGTGACAGTCTCTCACCTGCTTCTTTCTTATTTTCTTTCAACCACAGCCGCACCGCGAGTGGGATTTATTGAGCCTCTACATGGATTAAAATTCTCCTGAGAGAGAGTACGGTGACAGTGTGTGAGGTGCTTTTGACTGATCCATTAAGGTTTGAACTCACACCATGATGTGAGTTTTAATGAGACCGGTTCCATGTCAGGGTCTGGGCCTCCCAGCAAAAGCACCTATAGGCAGGGATAAAAAAGGAAAGACAAAGCATTAGAGGCAGAGAAGTTCACCTACGAGATGCAAATTCAACCGGTACGTCTGATTTGAAAAGCACAACCTCCTAATATCCAAAGTCTGACATCCAACTCCCAAACCGTTCCACGTTTGTCTAAGGATTTTCTCGTCTTAAATTCAGATCTGACCATATTTCCATTTAATACCACTGTCTCCATCTCCAGCTGGCAGAAGTGCAGTAAATGAAAGATAGCCTTCACATAGTCACATTACACTTTAGCTTCAAAGTGCCGTGAGAGCCCAGATGGAAGAGATCTTGTATTTTGATTGAAATCATCTCATCTCGGCCAATCTGTTTGCTTCCAAGCCTGAACCTCCAGCATGTGTTGCCTTATGCTAGAAGGAAACTCAAAAGATTGTTGCTAAATAGTTCAGACTTCATGTTTTGCCAAATTTGAATATTTAAACTGACTCACCAAAGTTACATTTGGGAATCTAAGAATCAAAACACATTGGTAGCTTGCTTCCAGGTTGTTGTTGATCAAGAAATTGGGTGTCATCTCATGGACACTATCGGATGGAAGCCTATCGAGTCATCTGCAGTGAGAACTTAGCTGTCTCACCCTCTCCCACTAGTCTGTTGGCAGCTTTTTGAATTGTTTAAATGCATGCAAATTACTTTCTATGCATCCTAAATAACCTTTTGTCCACTCATAATCACATGACATCAAAAACTGTCATCTAAAGCTTGAGGAAACAACTCACTTGCATCAACTTCAAGACTGTCATTTGTGTATTCTTTGGAACTGTGATGAGTATAGGACTTATTTATTTATTGGGACTTTTATAGTTTTTCTGGCAGTTTTTATTAGGTTCATCAAATTTCTCAGGAGAATCTCGCCCTGAGAGACACAGTATTACTGATATTCGCACTCATCCATCATTGTGGCTTGACAACACGAAAACACTGAGACCTTGAAAGTAATTACTCAATAATGTAGTTACAGCTGCCTAATGGGAGGGACTCAAAACTGGAGGACTAAGCCAAGCTCAGGGCGCTTCTGATGAAGGTTTTAATCACAGACGAAGGGAGCGATGCTCGCAGACTGATCTGCCTTTGGGGTCGCCAAACATTAGACGGGATGGAGTGTCTCTCTATATTGTCAGATGAGGTGAGTGGCAGCACATTGGAAATGACGGGTGTCCCTCCCATTCCCATTGGACGTGACCCCACACTCCTACAATGGTCAGCCCTGGTAAATGTATTGCGTGGGTGGCTGAACAGCACAAAAGTCTGTTTAATTCTGTGTGGATCGCTTGGTCCTGCCAATGAATGACAATTTGGGGTCCCTAAATGCCAAGTATCTATAAATAGGTTGACCATTTCACAAATAAACAACTTCATGTTGTGGACAAAGACATGTGAAAGTTTGAATGATTGAACGGGGAAGTAAGAAAGCTTAATATTAATAAATTCATGTCAGTTCATAATGCATATTCGATTTAGGAGTCACACTTTTATTTTAGCTACATGCCTATGATTAATTGCCCTACACACCCACCTCGAAAATGAATTAAACACCCAATGAATTAATAAATGCGATGTGCAATAAAGACAACATAATTCAGTATGCAAAACTATAGAAATCCCCATTAATAAACTTATATTATAGCATTCTTATACTCATTACATTTCCAAAGAAGATAGAATGCAAAATCACTGTCAAAACTTGATGTTGATATAGTACAATGACACCATTGCTGGCAAAACAATATGGTAAAAGACACACATTTTCAATAAATCCTGACATATATTGCTGGCAATTTAGTTCGTTAGAAAATCTGTAGGGCGTTTATGGTTGCCAAGCAATGTAGCAACTTAGGCCTATAGCAAATTCAACTGATGTGTGCCAATTGTAGCTATTTTACAACAGCTTTGAACATGGTTCACTAAATAAGAATTTAGAGTCCATTTACTTTTTTGGGGGGGAAATTATACAACTCTATTCGTGTATTTTTTTTAAACTGCACTTTAATAGAGTTTAATAAACCAATAACAACAGTAAAACCTCAAGTGGCTTGCGTAAAAAAAATGGTGGCAAAAAATATGATAGAAAACATTACTGTTCAAATTTTTTTTTACATTTATCGTTGATGAAAATCAAAGTTCTTATGCCAAATAATATATCTCATTAGTATAACTTTATAGCCTAGCGTTTATGCTTGCCAAGCTACATACTGTAGCAACTTGCCATCAAAGTCAGGATATAACAGAAAAGTAAAAAATTTTGTTTTTAAAAATTCCCACGCGGCCAAATAATTAAATAAATAAACAAATACATAAAAGGATAGGCATGGATGAATTATTCACTACAATATGCATTTAGAAAATAAATAAAGTTAATTTTAATTTCATGCCAACTTTAATACTTTTGAATTTAAATATGCTATCCTATTTCAGCAATTTTACAAGTGCATTAAACAGTATGGCTTAATGGATGGCTTAACCAATCAGAATTTAGAGTCATTTTTAGACTACTTTATTAGGCCTTATTGGTAGCACTTAAAACTTTCCATGTTATTTATAATAACCCGAATAAATAATTTGTCTAGGCTACTATTTCATTAGTTCATTCTCTGAACTGTTCGTTGTTTGTGGGACTGGCGGTATGGGTAGATAATCGATGGTCTTGTAAATAATCGTTACCGCGGTATGGCATGACGGGAATCAGCCGTTACATGAAGACCCCGGATGTGAGGCGCGCGGCCTTTAGTTTGTAAACAAAACCGGCATATTAGCAGGAGCGTAATTTTTACTCTCAAAAGCGTTTGTTTGAGCACATATCAGTGCAGTGAAAGATGAGTCATCAATATTTTTGTTCTGTTTTCCCTTAAGATATAGACTGTACGTTTAAAATGCATGTCTGCTAATAAGAATGGCTTTTGTCAACAATTGGAAGTACACTACTAACTTAGCACGCTGAGAAAAATTTGGTGTAGAAACAATTTTCACTCAGAAATTGCTAGTAAATTTCTCAAACAATTACAAAGAAACAGTAACAGAATGAATTAAGCAAGAAAATGTAAAGCATAAAAACTGGAAAGATTAATTTCTTGTAAAATGTACTACAACAATCTTTGTTTTAATTTCAACGTTGAAAAATCATTTTTACAAATAATTTCCTCAATGCTGCGAAGACACGCACCAAAAGCCATAAAACTTTTGATTTATATTGGAGCATTAACTATCTTTTTTTAGGCCTATTTATAATATTTTACTGCTTTGAGCTTACATTTCTTGTAAGAACGACCAAACCTGTCACTAAAATCATCAAAACAGTTTGATTGTATTTTGTACATCAGGGTAAATGAATTGTAGAAAGGATGGAAGGATGAATACGTATTCGGTAAGATACAATGCAATGCTCGCGGTGCAATAACTCATTAAAGTTCAGTGGCGCTGCGGTTCAGCTTTAGGACCCGGGGAAGCAGAGCGCAGTGACAGCGCGTGGAGAGATCTGTATGCTTTGCCGCGCACGCACCGCATCAGCAGCGCGTGAGAACGCGGCTAAAGACACTATCCATCGGTACACTCCGGTGCTCGCCTCGCTTCTTTTTCTGTGTGGCTGAACTGCCATAGATTAAAGCTCACCTTCGTTTCCCAGCGCATCTAAATTTCCAGGTGCTGACCATCCATTGGAAAGTTACGCACGGCTCATTGGAGAGATGGAAGAGTAGTTTGACTTCTGTTCTTGGAATTATCAAGCATCGGGAAAGTGGGTAAGAGATTCTCTTTTCATAATTGCGTTTTGTGCACTGAAGCCTTTTAGTCAACTTGCATAATTTCTTGCGTTTTTGGGTGTTCGGATTTGATTTTTGAATAGAAGTGAAGTGCAAAGTGTCTTATTCAGCCTGAAGGGTTTTGTGCATCAGGGAACTTTCTATTGGATATGTATTGCATGCAACAGAGATAAAAAAAAAACATAAAAAAATAAGATTCTCTCAGTGTTAGGATTTTATCAGCCTTAAGAAGGATGCTTATGGTTTCATTCTGCATTTAAGACACTGCATTGAAAGTAGGTGTAGCTTTTCTGCCTGATCTCACCTTTTCATTGTGTCCTAATGTAGACAGATTGATTTAGGTTGATTGTAGTTGTTGGACTTGGAACATATGAATATAATCAGTTGGTTTAGATGTGTTTGCATGGGATCAACTGAATCACTTTTATGCATGGTAGAGGTATAGATCATTGACCAGATCACCATAGCGTACAGCTGTTATCATATAACATAATACAAGCTTTTTAGACTTTGCATGCAATAATTTGATCAAGTAATATGTGATATTCTCAGAGAGAGACAGGTGTGATTTAAGTCTATTTGAAAGTCTAATTTCTTCTGCAGAGAAAGTGGACTATAGACTCATGGCCCTGAGATCAGAATTTTGCTTAGACTTGCATTGAGGAGAACAGTGGACTGCTGAAACAGCGTACAATCACACTGCTTATTGGTGATCAGCGCTTTAAGCCACATGTTCTGTAATTTTTCAAAACTTTTCCTCTAAACTAATTAAACCCCAGCAGACAGACATTATTAAAGCTTTAGCCTGCTGTTTCACCACAGAATAGCATATGCGCTTTTCAGAATAGTGACTATTTTGAATAAACGTTTTGGTCAATTTGATCTCTTTAAGAACACATTCAATGCATTTTTGGTTTCTGTGACACCAACCAGGAGTAAAATCTTTGACATAGGGGTTTTACATTTGGTTTTATCATAAAAATAGGGGTGTTAAACTGATATATATTTATATATATTTAAGAGGTCTGGGTTTCTCAGACCACTCATGTCTTGAGCTCATGAAATTGGGAACTGACTCTGGTGCTGAAAGCATGCATGTGTTTAGCCCATTTAGAGAAATTTTCAATTTTAATTCCTGTTTTGAGGTTGAAATTTTGTTCCTTGTTAAATTCTAAGATAGCAATCTGATACATATATTTTTGAGCTATTAAAAGGGGCTTGGTGTCTGTAAAACTCCAGACAGAGCATGAGAACAGTCCTCAGTGTGTGGAAGTGAAAACTGTCCCCTGCTGAAAGTTTTAAAGAAGAGCCAGGTGTGCTTGAAATACATAAATGTATTTTTAACGGGCAACGTCCTTCATAAATGTATGAAATGGAGAATACGTCCATGAATTAATCATCGCTCTCAACGTGCCACGTTTGTTTAATCCAGTGATTGGAATATAGTCTTTTGTACTATGCTGCGCTATGCCCAAGAGGAATAAACCCAGTGCGGTCTTTCAATAAAGCTGAAAATATTTCAAATTACAAAAAGCATGACCCGCTACAGTTCATTGTATATGTAATCAAGCCTCAATTAAAATCGATGGCTAGGAGACGTTGAGCTTTGCCATTGTGAATCTTTTCTAATCACAGCGAATGAAAGGCATCTTTATCAAAGATCAACATTTAATTTTCTTTGTCTGAAACAACTCGTGCTCTGAAAAAAAAAAAATAGTGAACAGATGCCACCAAAGTGATTGTAGCCTCTCATGATGACATTTGCATGTGTGTGCATGTGTGAACCACACAAGACATACGGTCTCTAAGGTATTTGGGCTGTCAATTTGATCTCATTTAGCGTTGTTATCCAGCCAGGTGCTGGAATTTAAAATTCAATGTTCCAGCACACTCTTCATTTGATGATAAAGTACTTTTTCGTGTCCTTTTTTTTGGAGCCTCTCTAGGGGTCCTTTGGCAGCCCAGTAAAGTGTAACTAGTTTTAAGTCCTATGAATTGTATTACTCATGGGTTTCGATTAAAAACTGAATTTGAGGGTTCTGAAGGAAGCAGGTGGACCAGTGGTCTGTAAAATACTCTATTTCTTGCTTGTATCTGGGCTCTTTAGATGGCTGGACCCATGCGTGACCTCCATAATGTCATGTGATTCACCTCAGTGAGTTCTTCCCTGGCATGCCAATTTCTAGACAGCGTTACTTGATAGACAGTTCTGCACCAGAGCCAAAGTCGCTAGATTGCCATCTCTTCTTCTATCTCATTTTTCTTCTTTCTACTGTGTGTACGTCTGCAGGAGGTCTGACAGGAAATGCGTGACGGAACAGACTTTGCTTGGCTGGTGGTGTTCGGAAATATAATTTTGTAATCTGACATACACTACGTGGCCAAAACGATGTGGCCACCCCCCTGTAATTGTACAATTTTGTGTAGGCCCTTTAATTCTTGATAAATCTTAAGTACACTTTAGCGTAAATGTAATGCTATTTTTCATTTTGAGTAAATCTTGTGTTAAAAAAAGTGTATATATATATATATATACACACACATATATACTCACACATACAGTACAAACTTTGCAAAAATAATACTATTTAATATAACTGATTTGTATTTAAACATTTTAAAATGTAATTTATTCCTGCAAAGTTGAATTTTCAGCATCATTACTCCAGTCTTCAAATTCTAATTCATTCTAATATGATGATTTTTTGAAACATTTCTTGTGATTATCAGTGTTGAAAACACTTTTAATATTTTTTGGAAACCACTGAAAAACTCTCATCGGTCAACCACTATATCTAAACAGAACCTACTGTTGTTGAAATGGTAACATTCTGAAAGTATTATGGAAATTTGAGCAATTTGTTCATTTGAGCTGTTTTGCGAGCTTAAGAAGTTGTAACATTGGTGGAAAACTTATGTATTGATGATCCATGCCGTTTACCTGTAAGATGACTGTCAAAAATCACATTCATTTTTGTAGTGGAAAGAAATGTCAGATTTGGCAGATGCATAAGCAAAAGACCAAGTGGATAAAGAAATTTGTCTACAGATTAAAATTTCCAAAATGATATCATAGTTTTTCAGCATTTTGTTATGTAGATATACAGATGTGTTAATGGTAGCAATACAGATAAAAGATGCTAAGTTGTTGCGCATGGTATTGGAAAAAGTAATCAGGCCATTTTACTGCAATTTGTTGTGTTTCATGTGTGAAATTGGCTAATTATAGAGAATTAGCCTATAGATAATTGTGTGCCTTAGGGTTGGGCCAATAGACAATACCATCGTCCATCGCCGATGGCTGACAGACATCACAATGTTGAGCCGGGATCGTGATTCCCCCGCGTGGGCAGTCCGCGTACAACAGCGCAGGCGCGAGGTGATTGCTGAGACAGAGCTAGTCAAGTAGGCGATATACTGCACATGTGTCAAGCTCGTTCGTCCTTGCTCATTCGCGTTTGAGTATACTTTGAAAGCTGTGCGGACGCGGCTGTGCGAGACGGAACAGAACGTGGAAAGTGAAGTATACCCGGGCCTTTAGTGGTCAGCTGCAGAGCTTGCCAAAATCGAAATTGCTGATGAGATGAAGATGAAAATATCTAGTGGAAAATGAGAATGTTATGTTTTTAATTATATAATTTTTTTTATTGTTTTGGCAGATGGCCATCTAGCGAAAGTAGTTTCTCCGATGCTGGTTAGGGACTGTGTTTGGGGATCAGGGGTTGGAAAGCAAGAGGTGATTCTTGAGTGAAGCAGTGTGAACATGAATTGTATCATCATTCTACACCTGTCTGAGCTCGATACCACACCCACACGGCCGCCATGCCCCTTGCCACTTCCGATCCGTCTCTGTTGCCCTTTTCTTGGATAAACGCGTACAATCCAAAGAGGAACGCAACTCCAGTCCTCATGGCAAATCTGAAGCTTATCACAGAAATTGGATTTTAGCCTGTGTGCTGCAGCCAATGGGGAATTGCTGATACTGTCTGGCCCGGACCGTGGGGGTTAAATATCGTACAGTGTCTAAGGATTTAGAATTGGAAATGGAAATTTTGCAATTCCACAAAAGCGGTGCACACTGTATGGTCTGTTCTCAGGAAATGACTGGTTATCAGCGGACTTATCGTTGAACAACCGCAGACCTGAATAGCCCATGGCTGTTAATAAATCTCGCTCTCTCTTTCTCTCCTCTTCACTCGCTCTCTGTCTTTGGGGAATTGTGGAGATAGATTATTTGTTGCGCATGTGGATGTGATCAGATGTCCTCTGGGTAGGTTTGCCTGAATTGTTTCCTGTCTTGTACCGCTGTCCGCAGGAAACACTGTGTGCGTGACAGATGTCAGAGACCCGGTTTTGTGACCCCTGTGTAAGTGTGTAATCTGGTGGGAAGACCTGACAGATCGTAGCCCTCACCCTGATGTAGAAAAGTGCAACATATTCTATCAAGACCTTAAACAAGCAAACAGAATGTTACCTCGGTGTTCATGGCCAGGTAGTTTGTAGTTAAATGATGAAGTACAGAATTGCACATTCTCTTACTTAAGGCAGCATTTGCAATGTCACTAACCCTGACCCTTAGTAGTTCACCACTTTCATGTTATACTCATGTTTGCATACAATACACAACCCGAAATTAAGAAATATATCGTGATATCAATTTTGGCCATATCGTCCAGCCCTAACACAACCTTTCAAAAGTTTGTGGTCAGTAAGATTTTTCGAGTCTCTTATGTTCACCAAGTCTGCATTTATTTGATTAAAAATAAAGTAAAAACAGTAATGTTGAGAAATATTGTTACAATTTAATTTTACAGTTTGAATATATTTTAAAATATAATTTATTCTTTTGATTCCATATCAATATTGAAAATGGATGTGCTGCTTAATATTTTTCAATACTGTCCCTTTTGATCAATTTAATGCATCCTTGCTGAAGAAAATGAATCTCATAGAACATTTTTACTGACCTCAAACTTTTG